TTTCCTTATTGTTGCAATTAAACATGTTTTGTGAATGAAGATTTGAAAGAAACATGCAGCAAAAAAAGCTTTAGCCTCCATTCCACCACAGCAATCCTAACTCATCTCTTCAGTTATTACATCATCATTTTTCTTACGCCAAGTCCTGACTGCTAAATATTTTTTCCATAAATCTCTTGTCTTCCCAGGTTGAATTGTAGTTTCCCTCTAACTATCGCCTGCTTTTATGCTGATTTGTGGTTCTGATCTGATCGCTGTTTTCTCCTGTTCCAGATGAAACCTGCGCTGCGTTCCGGCGGATCATAAAAGGAGACGAGGACGATTCAAAGGACCTGGCTGTAAATAGAGACATCTTTTATTCTGGACTAGAAATAAGCTTTTAAGAACTGAAGAAATCCTCGTGAACTTGACGGACGTCGTCATGAGGAGGACTGAACTTCCTGCTCTGCTTTTTTTAAAGGACTCCCCATGATTAGCCTTACTGGACAACAGGTTGAAGTCTCTGATGTTGTACTGCTTGTAGTGGAACACAGAAACTAACTTTGTCTTTTTGTTCATTTCATGAGAAACTCGAAGTCTGCGGCTGGTCGAACGCAAAGTTCGTTTTATTTGGGGGGGGGCAACGGATCATTGTGTCGTATGACCCAACAGATTATCGGGTTCTCCATTTACTTATAACATGTAATACTCAAAGAAATACTCTGAATACTTAAGCTCTTCGCCATCTTCAAACAAGGCACCGTTTAAACATTACCGAAAGGAAATGGAATCTATTCACAATCTATTTCTTCTACATTTAGTTTCCTTATAACCTGTATTGCTGCTTTAAAGTTCAGCTTATTTGGTAAGATGTGTGTAAATTCCAAATATTTGGTTTCCATCTGGACGATGACAGTGTTTCCAAAACTGTTTCCAACTAGTTACTCAAGTATGGTTTGCTAATGACCTTTAAGTGACTATCGCTGACACTTCTTTAGCCTGTGTAAGTGATGACATTAGTAATAAACGATGGTGGTGTAGCTAAAGCTTGTGTGTTTTCACCGTCTGTGTGCTAACCCGTAGAGTCAGGGGACAAATGCACTGCAAAAAATTTTATCTAACTAAGTCATTTTTTCTTTAATTAAGGATTTAAGTGAGACACTGCCAATGGAACAAGACAATTTACACTTAAAATAAGAAAAAACAATTGCATTGTCTTATTTCAAGTGCATAATATCTAGATACCTTATTTTAAGAGTAAAAATACTCATTCCATTTGCAAATGCTCTTTTTTACCTTAATTTGAGACATTTTTACTCAT